AACACTATACAATATCTTTGGGATAAACATGGTTGTGCATCCCTTTAATGTCTGTACAGGAGACAAAAAAAAAGCAGCTAGATCTCTAAATTCAAGGCCAGATTGTCCTACAAAGCAAGTTCCAGGCCAGCCAAGTTTGGACATAAGACCCTCCCCCAAAACCAGAACAAAACAAAACAAAAATTACATTTTATCTGCTCAAAAGTTAACAAATTTTACAAGTCACAGTCTTATAAAGCAAGTGTAATACTGAATATTGTCTACACTGCATGTGTAGTCCAACCAGTAACTATGATAATATCTACAAATATTTCATCCTCTGTCTACTCAACACTGTACAAAATACACAGATGTACACAATAGAATAAACCCCTGATAGACAAATGTGTCATTTATTTTACCTCCATTTTAAAAATAAAAATCTCTGAGTAAAGGTTGAGTAATATACCAAACATAATCTAATTAGCATCTTAGGGCAACACAGTTCAGGACCCAAAGAAAAAACTTATCTCAGTTATTATTGATATATATCCATTCTGAGAGACATCGATATTTTTCTGTATGTTTTTGCCACCTGAATAGTCCTTGATTTATTTTTTATAAATTCTGAAGTAATCAATTCATAGAAACATGTGATCATGCATCTCTCTGCATTCTATGGATAAGACTAACTTAGAAATTGTCCTTCAGACCTCACATCAATGACCTGGCCTCATGTCTTTCAGGACTATAGGCATTAAACTTCTTATGATTTCAGATCATAAAAGAAGAACACTAGGAAAATATTTTCTAGATGAGCTCTTCAAAACAACTTTTCAAAACTGTAGTTAAGCATGGTACTCAATCTAGATTTCGCAGACCACATCCATAATTTAAATATCAAGGCTTGTCATTTCTAATAGTTATCACTGCTGAGCTCTGTGAATGTTAACTGTCATAAATATATGAGGCTTGTACACACATTCATTCTGCCAATGACCCCATAAAATTGGTCTAAACACAAATGTCAGTCTTTTAGTGAGTTAACAATTTGAAAGATTTCTCAGCCAGATGAAAATCCCCACAGATGTCCTGATGTGTTCACATCAGGATAGGATATCAGTGTAACTGAAGAAGTATATGCAAGCAGAGAGCTGTATGAGGTGAGTTCAAAGAATGAATGGAAGGCAGATCACTCAGGGATACACAGATGTCCAATGCAGGATGAACAGGGTGTGATTTCGGGGTTCTGAGCAGGCAAATGGTATGATATCACTTAAATTTTAAAAAGGACCTACCTTAATTATTAAATCCTTAAAAATGCATAATTCAATATATTGCATAACCTGTGCCATGTATCTTAATCTCAATATACCATCTTTCTCTCAGAATTAAATATCACTGTTCTCACTTTCCCAAAAGAAATACCAAGTCTCAGAGTGTCTAATGAACTTCTCTGCATGAGGTCTAGTAGCAAAGCCAGATGAATAATTTCTCTCACTTATTGTTAAAAATCTGACTTCTCTTTTCTAAGTATTTATGTAGATTTAAGTTAAAAATGGATTAAAATAACACTTATGATTAGTTGTCTGATTAGCTATCAATGAAGATGTTCATTTCAGTAGATTATTATTGAATTATTATTGAATTATTTCCCTGATTAATTTCTGGAATATGACACAGATTATTTACCTGAACTTTCTATTTTAAGTGACATAAGTACATTCAGGTTAAGACTTTTAGATATAGAGCTAGTTAGGCAGTAAAGAGTGCACAGCGCTCTCAAAGAGGACCTGAGTTTATTTCCCAGCATACCCAAACCTTCCTGTGATGCCAACTCCAGGAGAATCTGACATTCCTAAATTCCAAGGACACCTGCATCCATGTGCACATGCACCCACACAGACATAGACTTAATTACAAATAAAAAGAACAAATGCTGTGTTGCAGAAATGGTGAGAATCATTTAAATTTTCTAGAGTCCATTTAGAAAAATTTCACAGGCTTTCATTTATTTTCAATCATTTTCAAGTTGTGTATTTGCACATAACTTTGCAATGTGCACTGAATATGCCATCATATTCAACATTTATTAAAGGAATTGTAATATTAACTTTGTTTCAGGAATAATAACTGTGCATCTACAGAGGAAGAATGTTTCAAGTTCACACAAGTGCTGCGGACAAGAGCTGGTGTGGTAAGTCTTCTAAATAAAAGACTCATTTCTCTCACCGAGTCACACTGCTCACCTCAGCATTCATCCCTGAAAGGGCAGCCAGGCACAAGAAGTCCCATTTTCCAGATGGCAGAAAGTTAATCAAGAAATCAACATTTATTTAATGGCCACAATAGGCAAATCAATATCCAGTTGCAGAAGTCACAGAGGATTTATGATTCAATGTCCATTCGATCTCATTAAGATAATAAGAGGAACATAAAGATAAAATAAATAATACAAGGTAACACGTAATAAGTTCTAAGTGAGATATAGAAATAGCAACCCTTAAAGAAGTTCAACAGAGAGAGAATCGAATCTTGGTATTTCAGTTCAGTTAAGAAGGTCTATACTAAAGACCACTGGCATTATAATGGTTTTCACAGAAATGTTATATTTTTCAATTAGTAGAAAAGTGGAATAGAAGCCTTTCTAGTAACAGGAGATAATATAGTCAAAGGTCAAAGGAGCAGATGGAAGGCATTCTCAAAAGAAACTAGTAAAGTTTGAAGTGCAAAATAGATGGGGTTTGACCTAATATGAAAAATGCACCCTGAGAAGCATGGATACTAGGAGAAGAAGAAAGAAAATGAATTTGCTGAAATATTAGTATGGGGCACACATTTGTGTACCTAGTGTTGTTATGCAACATTCCTAATGAGCTTATGAAGTAGAAAAGTAGACACAGTGCATCCACTTTTAATCAAAGGAATCAAAGTTTCTCTGCTCTGTCACCGTTGTGAGAGAATGGTGGAGTAGAATACTACTCTAGAGAGTTTGATGCACAGCCTATGCTCTTCCAGTACCCTCAATGTCATTTATCAAATTGGGAACCATCAAAGCTATGTGGTCAAGAGAACCGAGTGGCACACATAAATTATCAGTGTCAGAGTAGTAAGAGTAATCAGATCATGAAATAATAGCAGATGATCATTATCTGTAACCTAAGAAAGAACACAATATATTACATTAAACCAAGTAACAAGATAATGGGGATCCACATATGAATGTAAGCAAATTGAATTTTTAATATGAGATAGTATAAAAAAAAATAGAGACCGTGGAAATAGCCAAAGTCAAAAATGGATAGCCTCTCCTAAAAGCAAAAATGCTTTTTAAACTGAAAAGAAATGAAGTTTAAGATCTAGCTTTAATACTTTCCAATTTATTTTGTATCAAGCAATTTATTTAAAAATAAAAATTCCTATGTCTGAGACAAAAGAGCTGCCCTAGTACAATACACATCCTAAACCACTATTATGAATTTTGGTGGCTTTGCGCAAGGCTTGTTTCTCTGGTATGAGTATGGTAAGAGTTTGCTGGCATTTTTTTCTAACTTGAGTAGCAAGTTCTTATGTTCCTGCTAGTTAGAAATAGCCAATATTAAGGAGATACAGTTTTCCTTTTTATGTTTTCTGTTATAAAACTAATTGGTTTTTTTAAACTTTCCTTCCGATAAAATGATCTCTTGGAGATGCAACTTATTACTGTGTCATATTTGAAACATTGTTCTTCCCTGGATCCTCTTTTAAACTTAAGATACTACTCAAGGATTCAAGTGAATATTAACATTAACTAAATGGCATACTGTTTAACAAGTTGGGTCTATTTGACTGTTTCCCTACCACTCTGAAGACATCCGGACAATTTCTATGGATACATTTAAAATAAACAACTGTCTATCGAAATAATTTCTAATATAAAAGTTCACACATTAAGGCAGTGCCAGATTTTGACAAACTCACATGTAGCTCAGGCTGGACTGGAACTTGCTATATAGCTAAGGAAGACCTTGAATCCTTGATCTGCTTACCTCTATTTCCCAAATGCTGAGATCACAGATGTGTGCCACCAGGCCCAACTGAATACAAACCCCAATCAGCAGAATGACAAAGTTGTTAATGCTGGAATAACCAAGTAACTGTGCTGATCTTTACCTGGCATAGAAGGAACAGCTAATTTGTCTCATTTTTGAATCAACTAAGCATTTCATTAAGTATGTGTCTATGGACATATTTATCACATGTAGTTTCATAACTAAAGTTTCTGTAACATACCTATATCTGTACAAATAGATAAATATTTAACAATCTTAAAATTAAAATTAAAAAATCAGAACATTAGTGACAATGTCTTGGCTTGGGATATTTTAGAAGTCCTACATCTACACAACTTTTATCTAACTTGAGCATCACTTAACAAAGCTAAAGGGTAATCAAAACAGCACACTAGCAACCCTAATTTCCTTTACTTTCCTGGATTAAAAAAAAAACTGTTTTTACTTGAAAATTGTTGTTGAAGTTTGAAAGTAAACCGTGTGACAACTTTGTAAAACAGGTTTATAGCCACTATATATTGAAGATGTCTGTGTCAAATTATTATTGTGCATCTATACTGATCTGAAAACAGACATCTGTAAAAAGTGGTAATTAAGTAACACAGGTACAGCAGATAAATAATCGTAAACTTAGACATATTTAATGATTGAAAAACAGGGCTTTTCCAATAAATTAATTAGAAAACTCTTCACACACACACACACACACACACACACACACACACACACACACACACAAACTTGTCTCCATATAAATGTGAGCATTCTGCACAATATATATTACATATGTTAGGTGTGTGCAAAAATAAAGCAATAAGGTTTATTTTATGCATCTTACTTTCTGTTATCTAGGACAGCAAATGCCTAATAATGTCTTCATGCATGAAATATATTAAGGCGAGAATATTGCCTTTAACTTGTAAAGCCATTGTTTCGTGACAGTTTAAAATAAAGGAGAACTATTTTTACCTCCCAGTCCTGGTCTAAGTCGATTATCGTAACCATCCAGAAGTCTGTCTAGAATTCTTGTAAAGATGGTAATGTTATTTTTAGCCTCATCTTCTTGGATGTTAGCCAGCACCAACCTAAACAGATAATTTCACAAATTGGTATATATTATATATGTGCATACGGTGTTTGGCTAAGTGCCAAAATGCTCTTCTTACTTGATCTGAATTTGAGGCTGCTTTGGCCATTAGTGATACACACTTCTTTCCTTTTTCACTCTATAAATAGTACTAAACTTATGGGAACAGTAAATATACTATTTAAAAATGGATAATAAATATCAGGATATCAGAAGCATAATTATAGCACTGAGAATTCTGACACTTAGCATTCTGTATGAAAAAAATCTATTGCATAGAACATACCATGTCTATAGATTCTCATGTGCAAACATTATCAGCAAGATTGTTTAGCAGTTAGATGGAGTGTAATGACTAGAGAGACTTCTGAAGTGTTTCTTCAGTGTTGTGAACATTAATTGGAAAATAAACTCTCATCTGGGTAGTACAAATTTCTCTATCGTTCTCATATGTAGCATTATTTCTCTATGCCTTTCACATTTTTAGACCAAGATAATTTCCTGACTTGGGGTATACCTCCACCCAATGGCCAAGTATAATATAGACATCAGGGAAACTCCATTGGCAGGCTGCCAGGCTTCCTTGTGGCCAGGAGATGGAGGTGGGCTCTGAAGGCAGCAGCAACACACACAGCCTCAGAGTCTGGGAAGGCTAGGTCGTTGGAGTGGTCTCAGAAGAGAGATACGGGGCTACATCAAGATAAAAGTGTCCAGTTACCCCTTCTTTGGTGATAAATTTCTGGAAAGGAGTGGTCTTAAAATATCCCCAGCAAAGCTTTAAAAGCAGTGATTTTCTCCATTATTTCTCCGTCATAAAGCCAGAGACCTGATTTTGTGACAGCAATTTGGTACCAAAGAAACTGAATGTATAAAACAGAGTGTCCCTTTTCATTGCCATTTTTTCTCAGAATGATTCAGAGATTTAAATTACTGTCCCCAAAAAAGAATCATTTATATAATAGAATAAAATTTTGCCATGAACATTATTGGTCAAATATAGAACAGAAAATGAATAGAGTGATATTTAGTTAAGCAGTCGGTGGTAGTTCTCAATGGTTATTAATTGATAATAAATCATCTATGCCATTAAAGTCAAAGATTGGATGTACTTACATTCTAGTCAATGTTTATCATATAAAACATCACTGACAGAGACCATTTACATCAAAATTAATGCAGAAACAGTAGCTAACAATACTCATAAAACATCAATATTGGCAAAAAATGTCAAGCTAACATTTTGAAAACCAGAGTGAATATTAAAGTGTGAACAAGAAGATGAACAACCTCAAATTATATAAATAAATCAGTTCATACACTCTACTCTCAAAAGTTTCTCTTTGCCTACTTTAAGCTAATTTTAAAACCCCTCACTAAGATAGTCACAGGCGTCTGAGATTTCACTCAGAGGTGTTGTTAAATCATATTTCATATTCTCTTTCTAAAGTCAATATTCAGTTAGAGTGGGTATTTCCCAATTAAATTATTTCCAAACAGATTTCTTTTCAGTTTCAAAATATCTTTTCACACTTTGAAGATTATTTGGTCAAAACTCTTAAAGGGAATAATAAAATGCTACAATATTTATTAAAAAGTAATGGCTACAGAAAAATCCTTAAAAATTTTTAATTCTTCTAGAGTTTAAAAACACTTCCTAAATGCATTAAATGAAATATACCCACTGCTTGCTTTTTTAAAAAATCAGAAAACACTGAAATTAATATGAAATTGCTTAAAGCAAATTTACTTCTGTGCAGACAATAAGCAAAAAAAATCACACATTTAAAATAAGTATTCTTTTTTATCAGTAGCCATCTGAAAAGAAAAACACCTTTAAATTAATAAGATGAAAAGTTGGTTCCTACCTCAAGCTTTTGTTTTATTGTTTGTGATTGTCAAGTTGTATACTACCTCCACCTAGAGGTTTCAGACTCACATATCATTTGGGGTTTCTGTGTTGTTTATAGAAGCCCCAAATGATTGAAAACAAAAATGCAAAGAAAGACACAGAAAGAAAAGGAAAAAACCTAAGTTGCCACTTAAATCATTTAGCTGATATTTTTCTGTCAGCTCCAAGGGTAATTTGACTTCCTCATCAGATTTTGACATTATAGGTATCTTAACTGCAGGCATCCTTTGGACTAATAAACTCCTGATAGGGTAGTCTCTTCTTCAGTTAAATGTTTCATATAGAAAATGTGCTCATTCATTTTTTTTGTGGCTTTAAGAAAAAAGATCAGCAAACTTTTTCGAGTTTCAGACACTTAATGGGTCAATTTCATATACAATACATTTCCTTTAAAAACAATTCTTCAAAACCTCTCTACTCTGAAAGATCACAAAGACACTTAGGGAATTTAGAAATCACGGCTATACCTGAAACGAGGAAATCAAACACAGCATCTCACCTGGCTGGGTGCCACACCAGGAAAACAAGCAGTAGAGACCGTACATTGCAGGTGTTCAATTTTGTCTCCATCTTCCTTGTTTGCGAAGCTATTAAAAGAAAAACAAAATAAAATTAAAACTGTTCTCAGTCCTATCATCCAAGTAAGCCCAAAAGAATGTCATTTCAGTTGTGGGGAGGGTTGTTACTCCAGTTCACTAGGTGTATAGGTGTAGGGCTAGATGACTGGAGGAGGAGGAATGACGCTACTCATCATTTCCCCCCTGCCACTTAACTTCCCCCAGCCCCATCCTCTGCAAACACTTCGCTATGCACACATGAAATGACAACACCCGGGACTCTAAACTGACACATGCGCTTACGAAGGAATAGATTGGAGGAGTGAGTGGAAAAGAGGTGGAGAGATGGATACTCCATGCCTAGCCTTCTCAGCGAAGACCACCTCCGCAAGCACAGCAGGAAAAGCTAGCAGCTAGCAGCCTACTTTTCAATGTCTGTCTTTTCCTTACAGTGAATTGCAGTCCTCAGGTCTTCACTTTCCCCAACAACCCCCCTCCCACGCCGCCCCCCCAAAAAATAAAAAAAATAGAAAATGAAATCCAAATCCTTCTCCCTACCCATCCACATTTGCCCACATACACCTTCAGGAGGTAGCAGGGTGGGGAATTAAGTGCTGCGAACTCTGCGTTGGACAGCTGCTCTAGAGCCAAGATTACCAAAAGAGCGTGAGGCTTTAGGATCAAACACCAGGCAGGCAGGCAGCGCAGCCACTGTGTGCAAAGTTGGAGACTGTAAAAGAGCCGGGCCAGCGTGCTGCCGCCGGACTGGCTCTTGGATTTTTATTGTAGTTGCAAATACGCTCCTGGGGAGGGACATTGGCATTAGATTTTGGAAGCTGGAGGGCAGAGGAGCCTCTGTTTCGAGGGAGCATGAAGAGTGGAGTGGGCTGGGGAGATGGAGGGGGGGGGGGGTAATGCTGGCGAGGCAGAGGGAAATGGGCAAAGGTCGCCCGCTGCCACCAACGTCTGCGACCCTACCTGAACAGCAAGCAGAAGTAGATGTTTTCCTCCAGTAGCTCTGATTCTGGGGAAATGGAAAACTTGAGAAAGAGAGAAGAGAAAAAAAAACAGAGAAGAGAGAGGAGAGAAGAGGAGAGAGAGAGAGAGAGAGAGAGAGAGAGAGAGAGAGAGAGAGAGAGAGAGAGAGAGAGAGAGAGAGAGAGAGAGAGAGAGAGAGAGAGAGATAGAGAGAGAGAGAGAGAGAGAGACTGCAGCAGCCTAAGGAACAGGCAGCAAAGGGATGGGCTGGTGGAAGCTGGAGCAGAGCGCGAGGAGCCGCGGCCGCGCGAGGAGTAGGCGGCGAAGGCGTCCGTAGTGGCGGTGATGGGCGGAGGAGGAGGAAGAGGAGGAGGGAGTAGCGATGGCAGGAGCCGGGGGGTGGGGGCGCGGAGGCGCGATGCGCGATGCGCGCTGGCAGCGGCGGGCACGAGCCCCGCGCCTGGAGAAGGAGGAGCCAGCCTGAGGAGGAGGGCTAATGAGGTTCCTGGGAATAGGGGACCCCCCCAACCCCCACCCCAATCCCGGTCAAGCCGGGGAGACGCGGGGCACCCCAGTGAACCCCGGAGCTCCGCTGCCCGGCGCCCACACCGTTCTGGAGGAGCAGAGCCCACGCCCCGCCCGGAGCTGCTCTCCGGAGGCCCCGAGCTTCCTGGTGTGAGGGTTAGGGGGGCGCTGCTGGTGAGTGTGGGTGAGGAACCCTGAATGGTATGTGTCTGTGAGGCCCTAGATCCCGCGGATTGTTCCCTGCCGCTGGTCCCCCAACATCATCCCTGGTGGAGCGATGTGGCTGCCTGGAAGAGGTAACGATGTATGGCTCCCACTGGAGGGCGAAGGGGCTAATCACGCCTTTACTTAGTCATCAGCGCATCCACGCAGGACCAAGTTAAACGCACGTTATGTGGAATTACACAGCAGGAAGTTTCTTTGATTCCTTTAGCCTTCTGGTTATACCTCTCATTCCTCCGCTCTCCTGCAATCAGGACCAATTTCCCCCTCAAGCTAGGAGGGCTGGAGAGTTGCCCAGAGCCGGTCAGTGAAGGCCCTGGACCGACCCTTCACTTCAGGAAACCTCCTGCCTGCTTTCAGCAATGGCTTTTTCCCTAATCTCTTTGCCAGGTATTCTCTTTACCTGGTAATCAAGACTCAATCTAAGAGCTATAAAAAGTTTACATTAGCCGGGCGGTGGTGGCGCACGCCTTTAATCCCAGCACTTGGGAGGCAGAGCCAGGCGGATCTCTGTGAGTTCGAGGCCAGCCTGGGCTACCAAGTGAGTCCCAGGAAAGGCGCAAAGCTACACAAAGAAACCCTGTCTCGAAAAACCAAAAAAAAAAAAAAAAAAAAAAAAAAAGTTTACATTAGGCTGGAGCAAAGGGACCCGCAGCCGCCTCCTCAGCTCCTTCTGCAGACAGTAGCGAGATGGAGAAGTTTGAGGTTTTCCCCCCTTTAGGGCTTTTTCGTGGCAGAGACTTGTAATTCCAATGCCATCATACACTTTGAGCATTCTGTGTTTGATCTGTCTGATTTTTCTTCCGTTTTATCTGGGGCAATAAAATCCAACCGTGTAGCTTGAACAAAAAAAAAAAAAAAAAAGAAAAGAAAGAAAAGGGAAACAAATGAAGAAGAAACGAGTTCTGTTATATTTTTTTCTCTCTTTCTGTACTGCACACGAGACAGAATGTTACCTACATTCTACTCAGGCAAACCAGAGCTGGTATTTATCTTTTCCCAAAAGTTGTTACAAACGTGAAACACTATAAAAGGAGAAAGAGGAGAGTTTAGTATGTCTGTTTACATTCAGAGTCAATATGTGACAAATACTTCAAATTTTGGTAGTTGGGTCCCCCCAAAAATCAGATTTTTTTTCCCTAGGTGCTGCAGTTTTCCTAACAGGCAGTGCTAATCTACAATACGTATTAGCTTTGCTTTGAAGATGATGGGGGGAGAGGAAAACCTTTACAATGGAAATATTTCAGGCTGTTCATTTTAACATAGAAGCCACCACTTTGCCAATGAGCACTTAATGTTATAACCTAAGCAAACATCTGCTCTTAGTTAGCTGGCTCCATGAGGGAAGGAGCACCGTGCAGCCTCCTCCCCCTCCATCATTAATATTCCTTTCCTGACTTGCCCATTGTGGAGTCTAATTGAAATTCACAAAGATAAAAAGCATGCCATTTAAAACCTTGCAAGCAGGGAACCCAGAGTCTTCTACTTGGTGAGAACACTCCACTTCCTGCTGCATCTTCCTGTTCTGCTCCTGTGGTGTGTCAGTTGCTGTTAGGAACTCTCTCATTATGCCATGTAGATCACTTCTCAACTGTCTATATTTTGACCGATGCAACTCTATTTGCCATTGCCCCTACAAAATTTCTCTTCCACGAACCTCATAATCTCTCCAAGTATGTTCACATTCTATTCTGATGCTTCCTTACCACTGTTTTTTCTCTTCATTCTGATATTGAAGAAAATAGATTCTGATTCTAATTGCTTGCTTCCGTTTTAAAACTTTTATGAATTGAAGTGATTTGTCTAAAAAAAATCAGCTTTGTCTGTTAACACCGTGATTAAACTTAAAATCTCACTGACGTACGATCTGTCTGCATTTGAGAAACTTCATGAAGTTCAAGCAAACTGTCTGGAATGATTATTTTCCCCACCACTTAGTTTCTTTGAAAGTGTATGTTGAAACAGTTCAAAGATTTGGATACACATTTACTGGACCTAGAGTAAAGCTAGATGTTTAAATATCATAAAATTCTGATTTTTTTAGTCATCGCCCCCAGAAAATGTTTTATGATTTCTATTGATGTTGGATATCTGTGATTTAAACTTCAAGGCACATTAAAGGAAATGGGAATCAGAAAAGCTGATAGCTGAGAACAGTCATCTGCCTCAAAGCCACATCCAGACAGATATCTGGCCGTAGTACTGGGATTTTCTAATCTCTCCAAAGGTCTGAATGCTGTCTGGTTTTCCTCTGGGTTCTCTATGGTAGAGTGTGGGTTAACTGCCTGAACTTGAAGAGACTGGCCTGGGGTTGGTGACTAAGCTTTTTCTACCTATTTCTCTTGGAGCATGTCCTGGAGAAGCTGACCCTGAAAAACTGACAGCTAATGGGTTATCAGTAAATCCATTCCCATCCACGCTTGGCCAGTGCAGAACCTCTTGTGTTGAACCCATTTGATTTACTCATCCAAATTGGATTAGAATGAGAGGAACATTACATCTCCAGCACCATAGGCCACATGAAATCCAAGAGTAAAAGAAAGCAGAAAAATTTGGAGACCTTTTATTTCTGCTGGATTTTTCTTTATATCTCTTAATACTGTATAATTTTTAAATTTGGTACAAAAACTGTTGCTTTCATTTCTACAGACCAGCTGGGCACTGCTACTCCAAGACCTCCACATGCCTAGAGGTCATCACAGCACTTGAAGCTTTCTTACAGAAAGTAAATAGTATACATATATATATATATATATATATATATATATATATGCATATATATACATACATTAAGAGTGTATTGTAGGAGCTTCTGTTTACAGTATAGGGCAGCTAGTATGGAGACAATTGGTCAATGTGCAGAGCATAAGAAACTGTGGAGTGATCAGCATTAAATAGGCCAGTCACACCACACCACTCGTCTCATGTCTCAGGGACCATCACAGAAGAGAGAGTGGGAAGACTGTAAGAGCCAGACACAGTGGGAGTCCGCAACAAGGCAGTGTTTGCTGGACAAGACAAAGCCATTGCACACATGAACTCAAAATAGCTATGACTGCATGTTCAAGACCTACACAAGATCAAACCAGACAAAATGCCAGCATATGTTCGTGAAGTTCCAGCCCATGCTGAAAAACTACTGACAATTGATAGTTGCCTGGGAGGGAGAGTAAGTTTTCTTCAGGGATGAGGCAAGAGACCACCCATGCTCCAAAAGATGGTCCTACACACAAGTACGTACAGACCAGCATTAAGGTGGATTCAGTGGGTTGGGAAAATAAAAGCACATATGAAGTTGGGAGGGGAAATTGTTAGGAGAGACTGTGGAGGAATTGGAGGGTAGGGAAAGGGGAGTGGATTTGATCAAAATACATTACATGCACGTATAAAATTCCCAAACAATTTTTCCAAATTTGTAAAAAGAAAATATATGAATGTTCAAACAATGTGTGTGATAAAAAGCTATATTAAATAACTGAATAAACAAAATTAATGAGAACATTTTAATAACATTTTTACAAATTTTATTTAGTTTTCCATTTGATTTTCTATACTTTAAAATGATAAATAAGAATGAGTTTATTAAACCAGCATCTCATCATATGTGAAATGTTGAGTGTATTAGTGTAAAATAAACTTTTATTCAAATGAAGATATATGGACAGGTGTAATGGCTCAGCAATGGCAGCAGCCTGCTTCTCAGCCTGAGGACTTGGGTTTGATTCTACAGGATCAGATAGTTAAAAGAGAAAAACAACTCATCCATGTGTATATCATGACATGCACCCTTCCCTAAAGTAAATTAGTAAATGTGTCTTTAAAGTAAATAAATCCCTACAAAAACACCAAATGAGGATGCAAGCCAGGACCTAAAGCATACAACCTTGTTTACAAAATTAAACACATGAATACCTTAATAATTCCCAGATATGCTTTGAGTATAAGTCTATTTTCTCATATTTACCAAGTTAGAAAAACAAAAACAGAGAAATGAAAAGAAAACTGGAGCAAACACCCATTTGGCAATTCTCAAGTCAAAATTGTAGCTTGATCAAACTCTATTTTCCTTGAAAGCTGTATTTAGATGGATGGTTAGACTCCCAGATTCTGAAAGAAAAACAGCTGTAAAGTGGGAGTAACTAGTCTTATAAAGAAATAAACTTTAAGCTACTCTCTTACACTAATGTATCTGGGTCACATTTCATTAGAGCTAAATGTATCATGGTATACTAGCTGGATTAAGCTACACACATTACTTGCTTCAAAGAGAGTCAGTAAATATTTATAAAGTAGTTTTACAAATTCTTATTCAGCTTACAAATTGGATATATCAAGCATTCAGTGTACACTGATGGTTTCTGATATTTTTAAAGCTGACTATACAATTACATACACACAGACTAGTTTGTAAGAAATTTATTGCTGCCTTTCTGTGAAATTATCAATAGATTTCTTTTTCGGTTTATTCAGCTGTTCCTAAAGAACAAATGGAACTTCAATAATTCAACCCAAAACACTCCTAGAAAATTTCACTATGAATTTTGTTCAATGGCGTGCTACTCTATCACCAACTATCACCAACAGCCTTTGCCCGAGAATGTCCTGTAAATACTAACAAAAATAATGAACTTATGGCAATTCCATTTGTAGAACAATTTATTTTATAAATACCTTGTATATGTTAATATATGTAATCTTTGAAAATAAGAATTAGGCTATTATTATTTCCATTTCACTGATAACAAAATGTTGATTTTGTGTTCTTAACTATTATAGAAAGGACACATATATATTGAGAAGAATAAAGCAAAAATACACAATCAGATTATGAGTATTTCATGGTCAATCAGAAATATGAAACAAAAAAATAGAAATCAATTATTTCAAAGAAAATAGTGAATAATGACAAGTTAATAGACCATTGTCCTTGGAGACTCATTGCCTTTGCCAGA